AAGAAAATAGTTTAACTACATATCTTTAGTGACATTCAATATAAGGATAAAATAATTGCAAAAAATCTTCAACATTATTTAATAATTTTGTCAGATAAAAGAAGTCATTACATTAATTTTGTTTGGAATCAAAATTTTAAGTATAGGAGAAAGGAGGGGTAAATTATAAAACTGAACTGTTTGAACTAGGAAATGTAATGTTAGCTGTGAATCAGAAATGTCAACATGAACCTGTGCTTTTGAAAAGAAAAAAAAGGTGTATGTTTTCCAGTGCTGTCAGCTAAAATGAGCTAGGGACGAGGGCTTCAATAATGAACCTAATGTGCAAACTTCTCTATTATTCCATGTCTGTGTTAGAGTTATGGGCCAGGGGGCAACTTGCTATACCAGGAGACAAGGAATCAGATTAATGAGACTGGGTTAAAGAACACAAGTGTTGTAAAAAACAATAATTATTGCATTTGGCTAAGTCAGATTGAATCTATGGAAAGCCATGAGTCCATAATGGAACACAGGAGCAAAATTACCATGAAGTTGAGTGAAGATGGTGAATTGAATAGCCTATATTACTTTTGAATCCTTTTTCAAATATGTTGTTTTGATTCACTTACTTTATCAGTGGAAAAGGTAAAATTTAGTAAATATTAAATACATAATTAGAAAGTATTTTCTGGATCTGGCCAGTGTGACTCAGTGGATTGAGTGCCAGCCTTTGAGGCAAGGGGTCACTGGTTCGAGTACCACTCAGGGCACATGCCTGAGTTGTGGGCCTGGTCCCCAGTAAGGGGAACGTGAGAGGCAACCACACATTGATGTTTCTCTGACTCTCTCTCTCTCCCTTCCTATCTAAAAATAAATAAATGAAATCTTAAAAAAAAAAAAAGACAAAAAGGCATTTTCTGGCTTAAGGGAAGATGCCAATAGAATGATTCCATAACCTGTGACCATAAGTTGGACAAAGTCGTTCAAGAATGCCAGTTTCAATCAGATACAATTTCAAATTTCCATGGACATTTTATGGTTTTAAAAAACGAAAAAATTGCAAGATACCATTTAGCCTACAGGTCTTTAAAACCAGTTTCAAAGGTATTTCCCTGCCAAAATCCTGTCAAGTTAAAAGGTAGAGAAATTAGAAGTTAAATGTTACTGAAGTAAATACATAGATATTTATGTATCTTAAGAGTCAAAATAGAAAATTCAAGTGATCATCCCAGATAACAGCAACCAAACTCCATGAATGGACAAAAGAACTACAAAAGCAACTTTCAAAAATGCAATATGGTATTATTAACTATCATTTTCATTCCGTACATTATATCTCCATGATTTATTTTGTAAGTTTGTACCTTTTGACCCCCTTCACCAATTTTGCCCACTCCTGCCTTCAGCCCCTGCCACTGATAACCATCGATCTGTTCTCTTATCTATACTCTTGGTTTTGTTTGTTTCTTAGATCTCATGTGTACCTGAGATCATATGGTATTCATCCTTCTCTGTCTGACTTATTTCACTCAGCATAATGCCCTCAAGTTCCATACATGTTGTTGCAAATGGCAAGATTTCATTATTTTTCATAGCTGGATAATATTCCACTGCATATACATACCACCTCTTCTTTCATAATTTGTTGTGCTTTCTTATCTAAAGAATATTCACTTCCATACTTAATTTTTAAATCTTTTTCTTGAATAGTGTCCCTCAATTTGTAAAAGTTTGGACCCCCAAATACTTGGCTCTTGCCCTGACCGTATTATATTACAAAAGCTAAAGTAGCTGTACTGACATGGAAACAAGTACATTACATATTGCAAAGTGTAAAATTCAAATTTCAAAATAATATCAACGTATAATTTTAGTTTAGTAAAAAAAAATGTTTTGCAAGTCTGAGTCTACTGTCTTTGCATCTAGTAAAGTACTTCTACTCATTTTTACCTTAGTCTTTCAGTTCTAAAAAAAGCAAATGTGAACTTTCGACCTTAGTTCATGCTTGTAAATAGTAATAAAACACTTCAAAGACTCCAATTCTCGTATTCCCTCACATTTTAACATTCTGAAATTGGGTTGTAACCTGAGACCACTGGGAAGCACTGTCCCGCGGTGACGCAGTGGTCACTGAGTGCGCATGCGCTGACGTAGGGTAGCCCTCGGAGGTGGTAAGGATATTGACTTTAAAGGCATTTTTAAAATGTCTTCCAAGAGGTTACGTGATGATTCTGCCGAAGGGAAAACAAAAATCTGTGTTTGCAGAAAGCAAGGAAACAATGCATCCTGGCACATATTTGACATTAGGCAGCACAACGCCTTCGGGGTGACAGCCCCCTCCACTTGCTTCTTAGTAGCCCCGAAACAGCTGGCCCGAGGCTCCAGCCACCGCGCCCCGGTTCCCGACCGGCCGCGCACAGACGCCGGGGCGAGAGAGGCCTCGGGAGCCGTGCATCCTGCAGGGCAGGCAACGACCTCGTCTGTCCTGCTGCTTCAACAGAAGCCGCGCAACTGTAGAGATTTGGGGACTCGGGCAGGGAAAGCCCCCTTGAGCCCCTGCGGGCCAGGGGCGGCGCTCTGGCCGCCGGCGCTGCCCTGATCCCTGGCGCGGGGCCTGGCGAGGAGCGCTGACGCCCTTTACGTAGTCGCTGGCCCTCGGCGTGCACCCTGAGGTTCCCTCCAACAATTACTGCCCCTGAATCTTTCTGATTGAAATCAAATTCCACTAGCTATTCATTCTGATATCTGTTGCCACATCTTGTGGTAAACATGCTGTTGTTTGCGTGAAACTGAAGTATCTCTCAGTAGTCGTGCTGCCAAAGAAAGAGCAGAAAGAGAATGCGAAGCCTTGAAGAACCAGAGAGCCCTTTGCCCCTCAGTAGGTGCACACGACACGGTCTCCTTCTCTCCTTTGTTCCGTTTGCAGTTCTAGGGTAGACTGCCTACTGTGTTATAAACCAATTTTATTCTGTCATTCTTTGGGGGTGGCAAGCTTATTGTATTCGACCAGATTAATGTGAACCCTACACATATGTTATTGTCTTAAAAACAGATTGTACATCAATAATCACAGTATTTTGCCTTATGTGTAATACCAAGGAGGTTAAGGCACTCTATTGCTCTTATCTGGCTAATATTCACAGCGCTCCTAATACCACAGGACAGTTTCAGAGCCCTAAACTACAATCCCAACTATGTGATGATTAATTAATAGATTCTGCAAGATGTGCTTACCACAAAATATAATTTTATTTCATATTTTACTTTGTTCACTGTCATCCTTTTATATTTTTGCTTTGATACAAGTTCACGTAACCACGTTTCTACTAAAATATTTAATAGTTTACATTTTTTAGATTTTTCGTAGTATTACTCTGGACAGGGTTCCCCAAATTTCATTCCAATAGAAAAGTTGACTTTAATAATGAACATTCTGATTCCTTAAGTGAAAAGATTGAGGCTTAAACAGGTTAAATATTACAGTACCGCATACTAAGGCAGACAGCTAGTATAGAATAGAAAGTCGGTCCTAGGGCTCAACCGATTTCAAAAGGGCTTGTGTTTATTAATATCTTTTCAGAACCTATATAATTCAGAAGCATAGACGTATCATCACAAAAATGTGGTTACCCGTTACCTATATGCTCCAAGTACAATAATTCAAAATAAAATGTACCATTTGATTTTTTAAAATATTGTATTTATTTATTTTCAGAGAGAGGGGAAGGGAAGGAGAAAGAGTAGGAAGGAGAGAAACATCAGTGTGTGGTTGCCTCTCATGTGTCCCCTACTGGGGACCTGGCCCGCAACCCAGGCATGTGCCCTGGCTGGGAATTGAACCGGCGACTCTGCTTCACAGGCCCGTGCCCAATCCACTGAGCTACACCAGCCAGGGCCCATTTGATTTTTTAAAAAATGTAGATCCCAGTATTATCCTGTGTTTTTTAATGAACAAGGTAATATTATTGACCTTTTTCCCAAAGATGTAGAATGAAAACTAGTTTTATTATGAAAATTAGAAAGGGAAAACCTATGGTTGGACAGCAAGAACCTGAATTTAATTTCAACATCTGGTTTTCCACATTATATACAGGCACTAATGATTCTGTATCAATTTTATTTCTTCAGATTTTTTCCTCTTAGAGGATTCTCTCACATTTATTATTATTTGAAGCTGCGACTGTGGCTCTGAATCATTTTTGTTCTTCTTTCCTCCCCCAAAAGCTGTTTCAGAACTTCTGCAACTCATTTGCTGTGGAGTTGGACTCTCCCTTGCAAACCACCATGCTGGGTGGGCTGAACTGCCATGGAACGGAAGGATTGTAAAGAAGTCGCTATGTTGCTAACAGGTCTTGCTAATTTGCTCTATAAGCTTGAGTGAAGTGTCAGAGAATTTTCCATTCCCGTGATGAACTTAGGAGGTGTGTGTATTGACCTGTATCAGTGATTCTGTTTGGATTGATTACTTTAAGGATACATTTTTTAATCCATATACAAAGGTTGCACCTAATTATCCCTATAATCAGATAAACAAACATCAGTTTTTCATATTTCAAGCCTTTGTGCCAGTAACTCCTGGAAGTGATTTATGCAGCTGGAGAATAACATGGACAGTCATCATAGCCTGCAATGTGTGAAATAATTTCATTGCACTGTTGTGGTCTTTTTAGTCTGATAACTGATAATGTTCAGCAAATGATACTTGGGGGGAAAAACTCTTTCTAACATAATTAAGAAATAGTGTAAAAGAGGGGTGTGTCCAGGGACAGCTCAGTGCTGTTTATCTGAGAGCTTGTTTAAGAATTCACTTCAAATGGTGAAGGGAAATGCTTTCATCTGAAAGATATCGTTGTGCTTCCTTCAGATTGCCTTCTCCCATCTGATAGAAACCCTTGCTGAGCAACAGCACAGATGTGGCTCATCTGGGGAAAATGAAGGGAGAGCAAAACGCTGGGGCGGAGCAAAGGCGTCTGGAAGCACAGGACTTCTTCCAGGCAGGCAGGCATGCTCCCAAACTCATGGGGTTTTTTTTTGTTTTGGGTTTTTCGTTTTTTCCTTTTCACTTACCTGAGCCGCTCTGGATCCATTTTGAAGCCACCATGCCCTCACCTCTCCCGCGGCGCAGTTACCTCCCCGGCGAATTTTCTCCCTCTGTGGACTCTAGGCCCTGCAGTAGCCCCTCAGTGCTCCCAGGTAGGTCAGGGAAGCTCTTTCCCGGGGCCACTCCTCCCAGGGCCCCACGACTGCCACCCCGGCTAGCCTGGTGCTCCATTGACTGGGAACAGGTGTGCTTGCTACAGAGGTTGGGAGCTGGGGGCTTCGGCTCAGTGTACAAGGCAACTTACCACGGTGTGCTGGTGGCCGTAAAGCAAGTGAACAGGTGCACCAAGAACCGACTGGCATCCCAGCGCAGTTTCTGGGCTGAGCTCAACGTAGCAAGGCTTCGCCATGACAACATCGTGGGGGTTGTGGCTGCCAGCACCCGCACGCCCGTGAGCTTTAATAGTTTAGGCACCATAATCATGGAGTTTGGTGGCAATGTCACTTTACACCAAGTCATATACGGTGCTACCAGCTGCCCTGAAGAGGAGGAGGAAGTGGAGCCTCACTGCTGTGCTGGAGAGCAACTAAATTTGACCAAGTGCCTGAAATATGCCCTGGATGTTGTGAATGGACTCAATTTCCTTCACTCACAAAGCATTGTGCACTTGGACCTGAAGCCGGCTAACATTCTGATCAGTGAACAGGATGTCTGCAGAATTGCTGACTTTGGTTGTTCTGAGAAGCTGGAAGATCTCCTGTGCTTCCAGACTCCTTCTCACCACCTAGGCGGCACATACACCCACAGAGCCCCAGAGCTCCTGAAAGGAGAGAGCGTAACGCCCAAAGCTGATATCTATTCTTTTGCAATCACTCTCTGGCAAATGGTTACCAAGGATCTGCCTTACTTGGGGGAGCATCACTACGTGCTCTATGCTGTAGTGGCCTATAATCTTCGACCGTCTCTGTCAGCAGCTGTCTTCACGGACTCCATCCTCGGGAAGAGACTTGAGAAGATTATCCAGTGCTGCTGGAGGGCCAGTGCTTCGCAGAGGCCAAGTGCAGAACTTCTTCTAGTTGAACTTAACTCTTTGAAAACTGAATTTGGCTGGCTCTAAGCCCGTATCAAGATAAGTTTTTGTCTTTGTTTCTATTTATTTTAAAGAACTGAAAATGTAAAAAGATTATTTGTAGGACATATTTTTAGAAAATAAAGTTACTAAAAACTTCTGTAGTCTCAAATGCTTTTTCTAAGAGTTACAAATCTGATAGTCATCTTGGTAATGTTAGTAACTAAATTTATTCTTTTATAGAGTTACATGCTTTGCTTTCTTGGCTAGTGGGCTGATTTTAACAGTTCCACAGCACTGTATTCATTCAAATTTGTTATTGATAAAACCAATTTGTCCAAAACAGAACTGAATTGTAAAATGCCAAAATTTTCCATATATTCTTGATAACCACCACCTAAATTTAAACTATTAATAGTTTACTTCCTCCCATACCAAATACGAAGTAAAAACTGTTTTTGAAAAAGATTAAAACTTTCCGGCCCCCCCCAATTTCTTGTTTGTGATAACTTTCATACATAAAATCTGTAAGCTGAAGTAAATTTAGTTTTAAAGGAATAATATCTTAAGTGATTTTTGTGCTGTTTTAAACTTGTGCATGCCATGAGTAGAACATTTTGTTATAATACTTATAAACTACTTCTTTTGCCTGTAATTTAGGCTCAGAAGAAATGACAAAAAAAAAAAAAGAAAGATTGTGTGATATGAGGAAACATGGTAACCTGGAGGAATAGTAAAACTTAACACATAGATGAAAGAGAGCAGAGAAGCAGAACAGATTGTCCGTGCTAGTATATAAGAGGTAAAACAGTGAGGTGGCTAGATCTTGTCATGAGCACAATGTTGGCGTCCATTTAGCAACAGCAGTTTCTGTGAGTGGTGGAGGACACGGCCATTACAGTCAACCAGCGAGTATGGCAAGGGCTTGATGTAAACGCTGTAACTGGATCGTTAGGGAAGAAGAAAGAAGGCAGAACCACAAAAGGGGTAAGATGCACCAAAAATGATTAAAATTTTTTATTTATTTTAGTTTAATTTTAGGATGAAGGAAGTGAGTTAATTTGTGAATGCAGTAAGAGGAGATGAAAATTACTGATAACGTTTAAAAACACGTGGAAGAAATGAATAGTAGCTAGGGAAAGAGATTGTAGCCTTGGAGAGAAAGAGCATCCCTTCTCAGACATGAGCAAAGGCATGTGGGACAAGGGCCATTATAGGTAAGTTTTTAAGTAGGAAGAGTTTGTATCTGTGGACTTCTATTTTTCTATTAAGAATGATTGAGGACAGGTCGTCTACAGGGTGACACGATGGTTTAGCACTGTGCTTGAGGGAAGCAAAAGGGAACTGGCCATAACTATGTAAAATATTGGTTCGGTGTTGCCAGCTCTGTCCATGTAGTTTGGGGAACAAACCACCTGTATACTGATAAATAACTCCTTCCTCTTTTCACTGTAGTAACAGTAGTCCAAGTTAGCAAGTTCGATTAAAAAAAATTACAGTGGAGTAATTTGTTACACCAAGTGTGTTAATGAGCTTCTAACTATGCTGTATACGCCCTCAACAGACGGTCAGTGAGCTACATGGGGGTCCCCTATTAAAGCATCGCAGACCAGAATTCACTTTCAGAATGAACACGGCCATGGCTTAGATTGAAATTTCTTCCCTTACCCTGGAAACCGTAGAGTGACAAAGAGAACAAAGAGGGAGGCACCTTGTCAAGTCCATAATCAGTGGCAGTAAGAGATAGAAAATGTACAAACTCCAAAATGCACGCAGTGGTGCCTAATGACCGGTTAGAGCCTGCAGAAAAGGAGTGCAGGGAGAAATAGGGGAGACAGCTCAGGCGAGTGCCAGGGGAACTATCAGGGGCAGATCCCAGAAAGACTTGGCAGAAATAGATACCCTGAAGAACAGGTGCCCACTGTGAAGTGCAAATGTTGAGGAAGAAACTCCTGAAAACAGGGCTGAAATCAAGCTGAGCCGAGCCCACAAACGTTGGCAGAGAAAGAAGGAACAGAATGTGAACAAGATCTCGTCGTCACAGAGCAGGAGAGAGTAGCAGCAAAATATTCCTTCTGGGCGTGAGAGGGTCCCCCTGGGGGTGGGATCAGGAAATGCAAGACAGTCCTTAGAAGCCTCTCGAGCCCGGTTTACTGGAGAGAGAAAGGGGAGAAACTGAGAGGAAGGGAACAAATACGGCCTTTAGGATCACGGAGGAAGGAAGTCTGAGTTGTAGGATGTCAGCGCCGATGCGAAGTAGAATTTGCCCATGTATTACATCATCCGTCGGAGCTAAGAGTCGTAGGAAATTATTTAAATTTAACAAATCAAGCCGGCGGTAAAAGCATATTCAGCAGTTCAAAAATAAATATTAATACTACTGATATTGGGGCAGAGGAGTGGAGAGAGAAAGGAATCCAAGTTGTCAATGTTATCATTTGTAGACGTAAGCTAATAGTGTCTAGGATTAATGAAATTATATACATGTAGATAATAAAACAAAAAATACAACAAATACTCAAAATCAGAACTGCAAAAATACAAAAATGAGACAAAAAGGCAAAGGACTAAGTACAAAATGAAAAACAACAATATAAGCAAAATAATGAAAAGGTCACGGTTAAAAACAAATATATCCATCCTATCGATAAATGTGAATGGTTTCATTTGCCTATTCAAAGAAAATCTCTGTAGGATATTCTCCTTTTTTTAAAAGCAGGGACAAAGTTATACCAGGTAAAGGCAAACCAAAAGTCAGAGTCACAATTTTATCATCAGATAAAACGAAGTTGAAGGCAAGGAAGGATACCTAAGAGTGTTAAAGAACATAACTCACAATAACGAAATAAAAATTAAGAATAACTGTGAACAAAATACCACTGCAGCAATTTTCACAGACCGGAAATAACAATCAGTATAAGGACAAATAGAAACACCATTTGTAGGATACTTATTTACTTCTCTCCAGAATGGGTTAGATGGGCACGAAATGAGGATGAGGTACATGACTTTGGCCAAATTAGTAGAATGTGTCTGAGTGTTACATAGACATGCAGGACTTTAAAAAATAAACATAACTTCTTTTAAGAACCTATAGAAAATTAATTTTTACGTTGAAGAAAACCTACAATCCACAGAGACATACAAAATTGAAATTTTAGCAAAATTAGAGAAGATACTGCCTTTCCCTAGAAAATTTAGAAAAAGCAACTATGTGTCAAAAAGAGAATGCTAATTATCAAAACCGCAGGAAATCTAGACAGCAACGAAAGTGAAAACACTTATATTATTAGAACCCAGGGGATAACAATAAAATCAAAGAAAATTCGTAGTCTCAACTAGTAATATGACTGAAGAAAGAATAAATAAAAGCAAGTGAATTAACACAGAAGTCCCACCAAGGTCAAGGCTAGATCGCCTGCTCAGGGGTAAAAGGTGTCCTGGCACACCCAGTGTGCAACCAGTGACAAATTGCCACGTGCATTTCCAAGCCCAGCAGACCTATGATGGGACAGGTGAAGACAATCATAGACCCCTCCCTCAGTGTTAAACTCCTCGGCTATAGAGCTGGGTGTGTCCCTTTTCTGTAGGGTCTGATGAAGCTTCTGGACCACTCTGCAGGATGTTTTTAAATGCATAAAATAAAATACTCAGGATTACAGAGGAAACAAAAAAAAGTGAATTAAGCATACGAATCAATGCTAGGAAAAGAACCAAAAATACACTTGGAGAAATTACTAGAAAACAGGAATTAAAGCATACTTACTGAGTTAAGAAAAGGTAGAACAAGTAAATAAATAAATGAATATGTAAATAGCTTGGCTAAAAATCAACAAAAGAGATAAATCTCTAGTTGACTTAAGAGAAATAAAAGCACATATACACAAAATTTGAAATAAAGGGAAAATAATGATATAACAGGAATTTTTTACTTTTAAGAGAAAACTTTGCATATCTCTATAGAAATACATTGAATGCCTAAAAAATATATATAGTGTTCTAGAAAACTATAATTTACCCAAACTGGCCCCAATGAAGATAGCAAATCTAAACAGACCAATTTTTATGGAAGAAAGAGAGGGTTGTCCAATCCCTCCCCTCCACACCCCGTAAGACATTAAACCCAAAGTCCCATTAGCTTATACCAAATGGTAGAGACCAGGAAATCTGGATGCTCTTTAAATTAGAAGGAAAACTTCCAAATTATTTTTAAGAATAACCTTTACTGAAGTCTGATGAAGAAAGATTACTTTAAAAAAGAAACTACAGGCCAATCTTATTTATAATTATCAGTGTAAAGATTCTAAATAACATTAGTAAAGAGAATCCAACAGCTAATGCAAAATTTTAGTTTTCTAATCATGTGGGTTTATTATAGACAAGGATGGCTCAGTATTAGGAAATCTATTAATTTAATTCATCATAATAATTAGTCAAAAGAAAAAATAAGGAGGATATTTACTGAGAAGACATTTGACAAAATTGAACATTCATTCCCAGTTTTTAAAAAGACTAAAGAGCTGAATCGATGAACCCTTCTTTAAGATTATTTTTTAAAACACACACATAACCAATGTTAACTGATTCGTTTTTATAAGTGTATCATGGTCAGATGTTAACCTTAGGGGAAGCTAGATGAAAGGTATATAAGAATTCTCTGCACTATCTTTGCAAGTTTTCTATATTCCTAAAATTATTTCAAAATAAAAAGTTGAAAAATTATAAAACACGCACAAACACATTTCAGCCCATCAGACATCATTGTAACAGAGAGTGACTAGAAGCATTTACCCTGATTTAGGAATAATATAAGAATGCCCATACAGCCACTGCCATTTAACATTTCATTGGTCAACGAATTTGAAGAGAAAAATAATTGTGTTGCAAAGAGAGATAAAAATTAATTTTTCTTGCAGATTCTTTTTTCAGAATGTATAACTAAGAAAAGAGATAATTAATTTCAAAAAACAATGAGAAGATTGTATAAGCTAGCAAGATATAGAACTAACATGAAATCAATAGATGTCAAATATGTAAACAAAATACAG